ATATATATATATATATAATAGATCAAACAGACCCAGATTTTGTTTGTCATTTTTTTTTTATAGAACTATTTCTTTTTCAGAAGATTTTTTTTTTTAAGTTTTTCACGTGTTTGGTACAACTTTTAAAAATAATCAGAAGTTGAGGGAAAAAAATCTAATTAAAATCAGAAACTATTTTCAATACTTCCTTAAAACAGCTACTTCTTTTTTTAAAAAAAATGATCTTGTAATCATAAATAAACATAAATCAACTAATACTTTTTAATTTTGAAACTTTCTTAAAAAGTAATCAGTAGATTATCAGAATCACACTTTTTTGGTTATTTATAAGAAACTGGCCCGTAATAGATACTTGATCAGTTGATCCCTATCTCCTCAACAAGGAGTTGATGGTTTGATGATACAACTTAAAAGATCTCAGGAAATATGGCTCGACAGAATTGAACAGAAAGAAACTCATGATGGATGACATTTGAGGTTCAAGTTGTAGAGCCAAAGATAAATAGGGTTAAGATAGTAAGCCAATTGTAGAGAATGCAACGCAAGCATTCCATCATATTTAGCATCCCTTCCTTCATGATCAGGAGATTCAGGACTCAGGAGTAACCTCCTCCTTTTCATAAGCTATAGAAAGAGTTTAAATGCACTCCCAAGTTGTTTCCGCCGATAAATAGGCCTCCTGAATCCTGATAAAGGGGTCAACAAAGATAAATTTTGCACCTGACCATGAAAAAATTGCTTCTACTTGTTTTTCCTTCTTTAGAAGATAAATAAGCAGAATCCTATCCCTATCAGATACGAATGTCCCCAAGTGACATGAACAGAAATTTCACATACTAAATTGTCATGTAAAACCTTTATATCCAACTCCTCTGAACTTCAACCAAGATAGATAGAGGTAGACACGAAATTTTGCACGATCACATAAAAATTTCACACCATTTGTGTCAAGCAACTAATGGAGTTTTCCTGAGTTTATCAATTTGCAAAGCGAAATACATGGCAGTATTCTCCATCCTAGCATCAACCAAAGCTTCCTTCAAGGTACTAAACATTTTAGCAGGAGGTCTATTGCCCAAATCCAACATTTCTTGAAAGTACTTGCACGCTTCATCCAACTTATTCTCATGGCACAAAGCACATACCAACGTGGAGAACATATGCCTTCCAGGAAGAATTCCCTTCCCCTTCATCTCATCCCAAACCTCCATCGCCATATCCAACCTCTCTTCATTACAAAACATCCTCACCATGATCTCATACGTGCTCACACTCGGCTCACAAGCAAACTCGCCGCTCATCCGCCGAAAAAACGAGCAAGCTTCTTCAATCCTACGACCCTTTATCAGGTGATGAAGTATAATATCACACGTCCGAGAGTTCGGACCAATCCCACATTTTTTCATCTCACCAACCATCCTATATGCATCATCCATCCGCAAAGACCAGCAATAAGCCCCAACAACAGCATTATAAGTTGGAGCCTCAGGTGCAAAGCCACTAGCCTTTGACACCTCAAAAAACTCAAGAGCTTCATTCAATCTCTTATCAGAACCCAAACCATTAATCAAAGTGCAAAATACATGGGGACTAGGCCTCACACTCTTGGCTTTCATCTCATGGTACAACCCAATAGCCTCATCAAATTTCTTGGCCTTACAATACGCATTGATGATTATCCCATAAGCAACAACATCAAGGTGAAAGCCTTCATTCTCCATCTCCCTACACACCTCATTGACTCTCATCAAATTCTGCTGCTGACTCCACCCTTCTAGCAAAATGGTGTAGGTCTTAATATCAGGGTGCAACCCTAAGTGCCGCATTCTATCAAACACCTCGTGTGCCTTCTCAACACACTTGGATTTACACAACACATCGATCAATCTGTTGAAATCCGACACGTGCGGCTTCAAACCGTAGTGCTCCATCTTCTCAAATGTCTCAACCGCTTCCTTGACCTTCTCTGCTCTCGCGTACCGCCGAGCGACGAGAGCGAAAGTGTCCGAAGAAAGCAACTTTCGGCGGTTCATGTCGTTCACCAGAGTCCAAATCATTTTGAACTGTCTGATCTTACCCAGAGATTCGATCAGAGAGTGGAAGATTTCGGTGGTGTGTTTGAACTCTCTCTGCTTCTCGGCCCAACGGAAGAACGAAAGCGCGAGAACGCCGGCGTTGCTGAGTTTGTTCAGGACTTCGAGGACGAGCTCCGGCGAGGGCTTCGCCGGCACGGCGGCGAGGGAGGCGTCGACGGTGGAACCGCGGGTGGTGGATAAGATTCTGCAGATTGTTTCGGCGTCGGGGGTGGGCCGGGGGTGGGCCGTGTGAGAGGAGAATGTGTGGGTTTTTGGAAGCCCATAGGGGATTTGGGTTGTGGGTATGGAGTCATGGTGGTCAAAATTAGAACTTGGCGAAGGTGGAAGGGATTTTGTGAGGAGAAGGTGATTGGGGATGGTGAATCGTTTGGATGATCGGA